TTAAAAATTTCACTCTCCATTTTTGCGATACCACTTCAAAAACTTATTAATATGCGTGGTTTTATAAATGGACTAAAAAGTAACTTTTTATTTTTAAATTTTAGCAAAAGTCATTATAAACATGCATATACATATATAATCTCCTATATTGGCAGTAAGGGCTAGTACCGTCCGAAAACATTACAGTACAGATATATCAATAATACCGTATAAAAGAAAAGGAACACATACGTTTATAAATAAACATATACACAAAAACGGCACTCACGTAGACCATACATACCAGGGATGTTGGGAATATTTGCATTTGCATTCGTTATGCGAATGACTCGCATCGTCTTACACATTCGCATTCGACATTCGCATTCGCATCAAATGATACGAATGTTTTGCGAATGCGAATGAGTACATGGGCAGAGTGTCCACACTAATGTTGTCGAAATGGCTCTAAGTCTGTCTAACCAGGGTGCGGGCATTAACTGGCTTTTAGCTTCAGCCGCTAACCGGTTAAGTAGTATATCAAGCAACATTGATGGGCCTTTAACAAGTACTGCTAAAAGTCGTGTAGGCAACCTAGAAATAATTTGAGATTCCTCCAGCAAAAGCAAAGGCTCGGATGTAAAATTTGGAGACATTAAAAAATGTGAAATAAAAGCTCAATTGAAGACCCCTCTTAAAGAAAAACGGGCTCATCTCGGTGAAAATCCTCATGATTGGTGGAAAACTAAACAAATAAATAATACAAAAAAAAAATTTAATATACAACGCTTTTATAAATGGACTAGAAAGTAGAAAATAATAATTCTCAGTCCCATAGAATTTGTTTTGATAACTTTTGATTTTGAAATTTTAGCAAAAGTCATTATAAACAATTTATGAGACTGAAAATGGAAAGTGTGGGGCACATGCAATACAAAGCATTAGATTTAATTGACAATAGTCAAACTACATAACATAGACCTAAAATTTCTACAGAGAAAGTACAAATTTGAGATCGATTTTAAGCGGTTGTTATTCATATATCCACATACATACATATATTACCCTTCATATCAATTGGGGTTATTACAGGCGCCCCACGCAAAATCAAAAGTTATCAAAACAAATGCTATGGGACTGAGAATTATTATTTTCTACTGTTTAGGCCATTTATAAAAGCGTTGTATATTAAAAAGTTTTTTTTTATATTATTTATTTTCATTTCTTTTCACTTCGCTTTTCTCTGCTGCACTCACCAAGCTACGACTTAAATACGTTCGGTACCAAGAACTCAACTCAGCGGTGAGCGGCTCTTTACGTATTATTATATCCACTTGTGCATTCCCGCATACATACATACATATATACGCACTGTTATTAAAACAAACTCTCTGTTGTTTTCGTACTTCTTCACTCACCACTGCGGTGACAAAGCGTAGCTTAGCCAAATCTTCGGCTTCATATGTGAATATTTGCACATACATACATACACTATTATCAAAACAAACTCTGTTGTTTTCGTTTTTTAAAAGCTCAGTTAGTCTAGACTTAACTTAATTTAACTTACCGTAAGAAATCATCAATGATTATTCAAGAGCGGAAATATTTTGTTTTTGTATTTCTTTTTTCAGATGTTTAACAGTTCGCTGGCGCAGTTTCTCTGGGTTTTAACTCACCACTGCTGTGACAAAGCTTAAGGCGCAATCAGTCAACGACGTAGCGTAAACGTAGGTTGACGCAGACACGATATACCTTATGTTAACGAAAACTCACCACCGCATGGCGGTGACGTTGCCGTTGCTTCTCTCTCTCTCTATCAACAATAAATTTGATATGCTGCTACATATGTCAACGTACGTTTACGCTACGTCGTTGACTGTTTGCGCTTTTAGCTTAGCCATATACTCGGCTTCCAAGAATGATAGAATACAAGATTGCGCCGATCAGAGAGGATTTTTGAGAATAACTTTTGTGTGACGTCACACTGGTGCAATTGCGAGAGAGAAATGCCAAAACGTGAGCAAGAATGGAAGAAGAAGAAAAAATGTTGCAAGGAAAACGTAAACAAGTTGCACAAGTGTGACGTCATGCAAACAACGATTCTGTCAAATTCGTTAAGAGAGGAATAGCGGTCCGAGATCGGCGCAACCTTTGTTTTCTCTCAATCGTGCTCGGCTTCATACGTAAATATTTGTACATACATATGTACGTACATTTTTACATTGCACATATTCTGCGCATTTGTACATACGTGCTAACAAAGAATATAACGCGATAAGTGACTTCAAGATATTTAAATACATGCAAACCAGTAGGGAAAACTTCCAAATTGCATTTCGTCGCCTGGGTAAAAGATTGTCGTAAGCGTCATTTTGACGATTTTTAGTTCTAGATGCAGTTATATATTCTGAAATAAGGTCTTTCGATTGGTGTTATCAGTTTTTAGATATCTCCTTTAGTTTCCGAGATATTGACTAACACTTTTCGTAAAAATTTAGTTGGTGATGCAGTCATATTAAACTAATCAATATCTTAAAAGTGGCGTTCTCCATTTTACGACATTTCCTTTAGTTTCCGAGCTATTGAGTAAAAAGTGTTGTTAATTTGGTAGAAATTTTGATCACATTTTGTCGTATTTCATACAAACTGGCTGCCAAGTTGCGGAGAAATGACGCTTACGACAAAATTAGACTAAAGAAAATCGTTCGTAAACTCAAAATTAATTAACAATAAACATTAGAAATTAAATAATTTAAGAATTTTGTGAACTAGTAACTTTTTCAGAGACTTTGGAGAAAATCTATCCTCGCGTTTTTGAGAAATTGCATTCCAAACTTCAATCGCGATTTCCCACAAGCTGCTGAAATTAACATACGACACCATCTTTTACCCAGGCGACGATTTGTCTAGATAGTGATAAATAACCAATACTTTTGCAGTATTTATATATTATTTACATACACTAAATATTTATACGTATATTTCCACCACGTATATAACAGTGAAAAGTGTCTGTTGTTTTTATTTCTCTTACTGAAATTTTTCAAATCCATATTCCGCGGATTTAACTGGGACGCTCCGTTTTCCGTTATAAAAAGTGCTGAACCAAAGATTAAAGCAAATATAATTTCACGTAATTTGCAAGAAACAAAAACACAAACACCGCCACAAAATCTAAAAATTTTTTTCCTGATTTTCTGTGGCACAAAGTGCAATTTTTTCTCGTTTGGCACATATTTTTCTAATTTCTTGCGAACTATAACTGGGTGGTACTCAGCTAATTTTAATTAAAGCTTCTTTTAATTTATATACATGTGACCTTCCACAGCATTTAAAATGCCACTTGGACACAGTCCACGAAACGTTTCTGAAAAGGACACAAAGTCAAAAGGTGCTTCACAAGAAGCCAGCGGCGGTAAGAGGGAACCCTCACCGCGCCCGAATTCTAAAACTTTTGACCCATCTGCTCAAAAGTTTATAGCGGAAAGTGACAGTATCATGAGATACTCTGCAGAATTCAGTGATATACCAATCCAAGACCACACTGAATCCTATCTCATGATAAAAGATAAATCACTAGATGATTGTTGGGCACGGCTTCAGTCCGCTTACGATTTGGTATTTTCAAAGCCAGATGACAGCCTATCCTAAAACTTTAAGAATTCAGTAGAAGGCACTTGCCTTGAATTATATGAGGTGACCAAGGCCAAAATTGCCGATCAACTGTCGTTGATTAGAGCAATCGCCGCACCGAGTCCACCACCCCGCGTAGAACACACCTCAGAGGCAGAGGCAAACGTATATATCAAGTCACATCTTGTAACACGGAGACATTTTACGGCGGTTGCGAAGAATGGTCCGCTTTTCATGACATCTTCACAGCTTTGTACATCAACCACCCGAAGCTCTCCCGTGCTCAAAAATTGTATCACCCCCGATAAAAAACCCAAGGAAAAGCTTGCTCCATCGTCAAGCAATATCCGCTAAGCGATGATAACTTCGAGCTGGCCTAGGCAACTTTACGGTCACGATACGAAAACAAACGTAACCTATTTGACAACCAGATTAAAATTGTAATGACTTTGCCCACTATTCAATCCGAGAATAGCGAGCAACTTCAAAGGCTGCAAACGACAATTAAAAACTGTCTGTCAGTTCTTAATTCCCAAGACGTCCAGACAGACAGTTGGGATCCCATATTGGTGTACATATGATCATCCAAATTGCGCGAAGCCACATTGTTACTTCGGGAACAATCCCTCTCCTCACGAAGAGATTTACCCTCATGGTCACAAATGGATGATTTTCTGACTTCAAGATACGAAGTAGTCGAAAGACTGAACATTCCAATTTCGAAATTTCCGGCATAGGTGGACACGTGCATTACACTAACATTGGTTGCACCCAAAACCATGCAACGGATAAATACACAGGCTATTGTGATACCTCAGCTCACGAGGCACATGCCCACATTTACCATTAGACGTGAAAACTGGAAGCGATTCAAGATCCTTGAACTTGATGATCCAAGTTGCCACATACCAGATCAAACTAATATGGTAATCGGCAGCGATATACTTCCACAAATCCTGCTGGAAGGTATAAAAAAGATTTGCGACACTATACTTGCGCGAAAAACAATAGTTGGCTGGATTCTCTGTGGTCCAATAACCGAAATTGTGGTGTCATTCTCGACACAAGTAGAAGAGTGCTCGAATTCAATTCTAAGCTCTCAGCTTCGAAAGTTTTGGGAAGACGAGGAGATTCCACAACCTTCACAAATTTCACCTGAACATCAGGCATGTGAGCATATATATGCTACAAAAACGACTCGTGCCCCAAATGGTCGATACATTGTGCGACTTCCATTCAAGGAAGAATTTCCAAAAAAGCTGTCTCTAGGCCACTCTCGGTCTGCTTCACTCCAGCAGTTTTTCAGTATGGAGCGATCGCTGCAGAAAAAAGGAGACTTAGGCACAATGTAAAATAATGTGTTGCAAGAATATCTCCACCTCGGTCATATGGAGCACACGAAGTCATGCGAGATAACATCTAATGGCAAATACTTCTCGTTCTACTTGCCACATCATGCGGTCGTCAAACCAGATAAGGTGACCACCAAAGTTCGCGTGGTATTCAACGCCTCACAAACATCTGGTTCAAGAAAATCCCAGAATGACGTGTTGCGCACTGGTCCCACACTCCAACCAGATCTCATGTTTCTCATGCTGCAGTGGCGAACGCACAGATTCGTGTTCAACGGAGACATTGAAAAAATGTATCGTCAAATACTCATCCATGATTATAATCTTAAAACCGTAACTTTCGGTGTTAATTGTGCACCATACATCGCTATCCGTACCTTGCATCAATTAGCAGATGACACGATAGCGATGTTTCCTTGGCTACCACCATACTTAAAACCGAAATGTATGTGGGTGACATCCTATCCTGAAGTCATGATATTGACAACGCCAATGAATCACTTGTTCAAGTGATCAAAGCGCAGTCAGCTGGTTTCATACTCAGGAAACTAAGGGCCAATCATCTGGCCATTTTAAAAAATTTCCAAAGGAGGATCTTCTCGATTCCAACTTTTTGAAATTTGAGAGCGCATCCACAACCAAACTCTTGGTATACAATAGAACGCACTCACAGATAAATTTTCCTACACCATTCTGCCTGCATCGACATCGACTGCCGTCACAAAGCGACAAATCTTATACTCTGTCGCAAAACTTTTTGACCCGGCAGGATGGCTGTCGCCAATGATGATTCAAGCAAAGATTCTGATTCAAGAACTTTGGCTGGTTGACATTGATTGGGACGAATGTGCCAAACCCATAGCCTTAGCAAAATGGGAACAGTTCGCAGAAAATCTGCCAGCCATCTGCCACATCGAAATCCCTCGATGGGTTAATTTCACTCCGGGGCAAGATACCCAAATCCACGGGTTTTGCGATGCCTCGCATATTGCCTGCGATTTATATCCGCGTAGATGCTAACAATCAAAGATATTCCACTCTCTTGGTTGCAAAAAGCAAAGTCGCACCATTGAAGACGGTAAGCTTGCCACGCCTATAGCTTTGTGGTGCAGTTTTACTCGCAAAACTGATCGCAACTGTTTGAAAACAGCTAAGATTTGAATCGTGCAACACATTATTATGCTCACCTTGTAAATTGAAGACATATGTATCCAATCGTACCTCCCAAATCCGGGAATATATTCCAACCGGTACATGGCGCCATGTTGCCAGCCAAGACAATCCAGCCGACCTAGGCACCCGTGGGTGCAAACCGCAGGACTTGTCAAATTCCCCACTCTGGTGGCACGGACCAAAATGGCTCTCTTGCCATATGGATGCATGGCTAAGGTCAAAAGCATGCAGTGCATCTCCACCAGAAAAGCGCAAGGTGGAGGTATATCACGCGCTCGAAGAAGAGGTCGATTTTCTTGATCGCTTTTTTCTTTCTCTCGAGCACTCCGCGTGACTGCTTACATGTTCCGCTTCGTGAATAATCCACGCCATAAATTAAAGGGGTTAGCTATAATCACTAATCCACATCTGACACATAACGAATTTCAATATGCAAAAATACGTCTTATCAACGCAGCGCAATTACGACTTTTCCCAAGAGAAAAAAGCGATTTTCAATATAAAAAGCCAATTAACAAAAAAACCTCTTCTTGTTCTCAATCCTTCATTGGAAAAAGGCGGACTTCTACGGGTTAACGGCCGATTAGCACATTCCACGTTGAGCTATAATGAAAGGCACCCAATAATTTTCCCTACCGTATCGAGGTTATGCCAGCTGTACTTGGAGTTTTTACACTCGCTGCTTCTTCACGCAGAAGCACGGTTAATGCTCCAAATGGTAAGGTAAGAGTACTACGTACCAAACTTCTAATTAAAAAATGCATTTTTCAATGCAAAGTGTGCACGCCCTACAAGCAACAAACACGCACCCAAATAATGGCCGTTCAACCCCTTGAGCGCTTCAGTTTCTCACTCCCGTCTTTTACAACGGGAGTACATTTTGCAGGGCCATTCCAAATTAAAGCACCGGTGCTAAGATCTGCCATCTTTATCAAGGGATACGTTGCAGTTTTTGTCTGTTTTTCCACAAAGGCCGTGCATCTCGCATTCCCCCGCTTCGTTGGCAGACGAGGTTTTCCCTCAAAAATGATGAGCGACAATAGAAAAACGTTCATAGGCGCCCAGCGCGCTACAGAACGCGACTTCGTTAAATTCCTTAACGAATGTTCTGCGGACATTGTCAAAAAATATGCTCCTCAAGGCATCAACTGGCAATATATACTACCCAGCGCCCCCACATGGGCGGCTTGTGGGAATCTGCAGTGAAAGATCTTCAGAAGAGATACAAGTGGAAAACCCCACAACGCGAGCCTCCGCCGGGCAACCTCGTCGTGATCAAAGAAGTTTCGCAGATCGAAGACATCATGGCATCACGGAAGGCAGGCCTGGCTCCAACGGCGGAGACGGGTAACTGCCTGCAATGCCGGCTCTGCCACCGGTACCACGCCTTGCGAACGTGCCCGGCCTTGAAGGCGATGAAGCCGCCACAATTGTTGGGAGAAGCCCGCGCACGGGGTTACTGCATCAACTGCCTTGGGCTCACCGTGGGGGTTTGACTCGCCAGGCAGCTGCAAGAACCGCGGGCTAGCGTAACACACGCTGCTGCATGTGGCAGCCAAGAACCATGAGCGCACGGGCCCAAGGGAACAGAGGTACAAGCATCGATCATCGGCCACAAAGGCCCCAAGGAGTGTCAAGCGGAGAGCACAGCCGAATAAATGTGGGCAGAAAAAGGCGCAGAAGAAGCCGCCCAACCAGGCGCTGCAACCGACGCGAAAGAAGACCACACGACGAACGATCGCGCGTACCCCCACGGCCTACAAACGGCCAATTACCAGGGCCGCTCCACCCATCGTGTCCTTGGCAACACGATCCGCGCCCTGAAAAAGCTGCAGGAGACGCTCAGCGAGCTCAGCGACCGTGCGCGCATCCGTTGGGCGCAGCGGTGTCAAGTGAACTCCGAAAAAATGATTAACGAGCGCTCACGGCCGCTTCCCATCATTGCGCCAAATCAGCGACACAGCAGTTCAGCTATTAACGCCGGTCTACGCGCACGCGCCATTCTCAAATAGTTGAAATCCATACGAGGTTTAAATCCGTTTGTTAAACTCTGTATATAAATACATATACATATCCCTATGTATGTACCTATGAACTCGAAGTTGTGAGTATAAAACCTTTTGTGAATTTTTAAAACTGAAACAAAAGTGTTTCCTTTAAGTGGAAATAAAGTATGTAAAGAGTAGAGTGCGAAGACGACGAGCGAAAATATTCAGTAATGATGATGTCACTGATGAAGATTCCGGTGAGGAAGACAATCCTACGGTCAACAATTTACATGGCAGTCAATTTTGCGCGGAAACCGTTCTCTTCAACAAAAAGAATTATCAATGTGTTGTTGAAGATGTCGATGAAACCGATCTACCAGAATAAGTTGCCTCTACGGTGAATATTGAAGAAGGAGGGCGTAAAAGAACTAACCCCCCTCCCCTCATCCCAAAAAAAAGAAAGAAAGCTATTCGTTGTTATAAATGTGCCGTAGTGCCGACCTCAACTAGTACAGACTGACCATCAATAGTAACATGCATTCCGGAAAAAGGCAAAACTCCGTTGGAGTACTTTCGTTATTTTATAGACGTGGAAGTTGTTAAACTTTTTGTTGAAAACACCAATTTATATGCAGAAAAACATAATAGAGAGGGCAATTGTACAGAAAATGAAATTCTAACTTTCACTGCGATTTTATTGCTTAGTGGTTACATGAAAGTTCCACGTAAACTATGTATTGGCAATCAAATTTGGACAGCCATAGTACATTGGTTGCAGATGCCATGTCTCGAAACCGTTTCCTGTTTATCATGTCTAATTAACATGTATGTGACAACGACAAACTAGCCGAACTAATAGATTTGCTAAAATACGGCCATTGTTGGATACTCTGTAAGAAAGATTTATGGACTTTTCTCCTCACGAACAAAAGCATTCCGTAGACGAGTGGATGGTTCTTTATTTTGGACGCCACAGTGCCAAGCAATTTGTAAGAGGTGTGTGATATGAGTGGGATTTATAAGCATAAAGCATGCATGTAACAGGTATCCATTATTAAGCAAACCCACCCGATTTGGAATGAAATTTTGGTACGGGGTACGTCAAGGCGCAAATACCGGCACAAATAACTACCAAGACAGAGGACTTGGTTATGGTGTAGTTATGACATACGTGGATCAACCTCCTCTTCAAATTCCATTCCGGATATATTTCGACAACTTGTTCCCAAGTTTTGATCTGTTGAATCATCTGAAAGAGAGAATCATTGAAGCGACTATCAGAGCAAATCGAATTGACAAGAGTTGCACTTTAACTAATATTGATGCTATGAAAAAGACGGAAAGGGATCTTATGAGTATGTCACTGACCGCAATACAGGAATATGCTTGACGAAAATAGCATAGTGACGATCGCTACAAATTTTGATTATGTTAATCCTTTAAAAAATGTTCGGAGATTTTCGAGAGCCAAAAAGAAGAATATCTCAGTTACTCGGTGTCCAGGCGAACCCCGCCGCACCTAATTGCAAAACGTTAAACTTTCTTGAAATATCTATTTGAAATTGAAGTGTACATTGAATATTACAAATGAATCACCATTGTAGGGCAACGCCGGTGTCAGCAGAAATTCAGCACCTCTGACAGTAGCTTATAGACTCAGGGCTGTTTGTATGGGTGTGGAAATACATAAAAAAGGACAAGTTGGTTTTTTTCGTCTATCAATCGAAAATTCTGTAAAAAGATTGTGAGCGCGACTACCGGCGGTGCCTAATTTATTTAGTAAAATTTATGTATATGCATAAATCGTGAACCTGAACATTTTCGAGTCTTTATTGTCAAAACCAAAAGGTTCCGTGAATCGCTCGAGTGACTGTAGTTGCTATAGTGCGACGCGTTATATTTTAACTCTTCAAGACGCCTCTACGTTCGTTAAGGGGCCATAAATGGCCTATTGACCAATCGTCAGCGGTTCTGCCCCCCCGTCGAGTGTACGCCCACGATCGACTCACCAGCGCCAGCGAGACAACCGCCAACCAGCCAGCCGTTCCATCAGACATCTGCTGGTTCGTCTGCAACCACCTCCGCCGCCTGCCAGTCTAAGCAGTCAAACCGACGCCTACATTCTATCGCCTGCATTCCACCGCCTGCCCGCATACCCAATAGCCATTGCCGCCTCCCAGGCCGTATCGACCAATACGTCTAGAGCACACATCTGAGGATAGCCCCTGCCTAAGCTACAGCCAAGACGGCTGTAAATGGTCCTTCGCTCCGAGAATCAAAACCCAGCGACCTAAACCCTACATAAGTATCCACAAAAGCCGTAAGTAAAGATATTTTTATTAATTTCCTTAT